AAGAAGAAGAAGAAGAAGAAGAAGAAGAAGAAGAAGAAGAAGAAGAAGAAGAAGAAGAAGAAGAAGAAGAAGAAGAAGAAGAAGAAGGAAAGAAAAAAAAAACCAACCAAACAAACAAACAAACAAACAGACAAACAAACAAACAGACAGACAAAGAAAAAGAAAAAGGAAGAGCAACAGAAAGAAGGAAAGATCAATGAAGGAGAAGAAAAATAGGAGGAGAAGGGGGAAGAGATAGAGGGATGAGTCTTGCAATAGAAAATCAGCTCATGCTCAGAAGCATGTCGATTTGATATTGAAACAAGATTGGACCCTTTAGATAAATCTGTGTACTGTGTAATCTAAAGGGAGTGAGAAGTTGGTCAGCTCAGAGATAGCCTAATGTTTATTGAAAGACAACAACAAAGTCTTTTGTAAGGACGGTGTGAGGTTTTGTCTCTCGCCACCTGATTGAAGAGGAAGATAAGGAGCCAGATCATCCCAGAAGATGCCAGTACTGCTGTGGGGAGGATGATGATTTTGGGAGTACAGAAAGGAAGCGGAAAATCTGGCACCTTTGCAGGAAAGAACAGAAGAACGTTCAACCAGATATGCACTAGCACAATCAGTAGAAAGACCCTCAATTGCATTTTGAAGAGAGCAGCGGAGCACTAATGGACATATCCGGAATGCAAGAATGTTGCTTCCTGAAACAATGGACAATGGGCTTGACCTTGCATGTGTAGTTTGTGACAGCATTGCAAAGTGACGTATAGCTTGCTGACAAGTGGTCACATGGTGTAAGTTGTGGGTGGTTGGCGGGTGCCCTGGTGGTGTTTGCTCCTTCTTTCCTAGATCCTGTCTAATGTCTGTATTACTATATTGTTGTTATCTTTTCTCCGTCCTTTTTCGTGTTTGTTACTCCTTTGTAACACCTCTAATCCTCGGCTATTATTGTACGACTATTATTGTGTTGCAAATGCCGCAAAACACATACTAAAACATAAAGTAAGATGTGTCAATTTCATGAGTGCTCCAATTTGGTCGCAACATACCCCCCTCCCCCCGTTTCCCAACCCACTAATCCCTGCGGTGGCGTGGGAGGTGACAGACAGTGGTCTCGCCGAGCCACCCTCCTGAAACAATCAAGTACAGTCCTAATTCTTATTGTTCTTAGTTTTGGTAAGTATTTTACGGCGCTCACAACTGCATAAGGTCATATGACCGCGTGGGACACTTTAAACATTTCCAGGTGTGAAGGAGATAATTTGAATTTTGCCAGGGTGGGAACCAAAGCTTGTTCTTATCAATTTTGGACCACCAAGGGATCTTTAATGTGCGCAGCTTGCATACGGACCTCCGAGATTGTTGTTTATCCAAGAAGGTTAACTGTTAGATCTTACCTACCCTAAGATCAATAGTGTGGCGGAAAGACATCAGTAAAAAGGAGCAAAGGAGTAGCAGTAGAAAGACTGCAGAAAGAGTCAGGAGCCCAGAGGAGGGAGCAAAGGAGTTGAAGGGGTGGGAATGGAGACGAAAGCAGACGACCGAACATTGTTAGGGAGCAGGAAAGGAGGTGAAAGGAGAAAATCTTTTTTTTTTAAATATTCCGTCGCTCTCAGGTTTCGAATCCTTGACCTATTGAATGAGAGGCGAGCACTGTAACCTCTAGACCACGAGATTTCCCAGTCCTAATCCAGGCACTATATGCCTTTAATTTTTTCGGTCTCTTGGACATACATGAGCCTATGTAGATTTTTTAAAATGCAGAACCAAAGCTTACTATACTAACTAGTTCTTCTTCAAATGTCTGTTCCCAGAACTGATGCCCTAGAAGCTCAGGACTGTGCAGTACTCATTAATTTTCCAAAACTGTTGTACAAAGTACAAAAACAAAACCACAAAAAGAAAGAGAAAAAAAGATAGAAAAAATAAGAAAGGAAGGCAGAAAAAAGAAAGAAAAGAAAGAAAGAAAGAAATACAGATAAAAGAAGAAAGAATTAAAGGAAGAAAAGAACGAAAGAAAGAGAGAAAGAAAGAGAGAAAGAAAAAGAAAGAAAGAAAGAAAGAAATACCCATACATAATCCATAATAGTACGCACAAGCAAAACCAGACTCCAGGATCGAGTACATAGTAGATCAACGATATTAACTATTAAGAGCCAGAGAATACGGTCACTAATATGTGCCTAATATGTCGATAGTCAGTAAACAATGTGTTTGTGCACGCAATGTAAACAGTCTATTTGTCTCGTCGTCAAGTCACTACCTCAGAATTACAAAGTTCTATCTGCTCGGTATCCAGTTTGGAGATATTTGACGACAAAGATTTTGAGTTTTACATCATGTCAAGCTTTTCCGAATGCAATCAATTTTTGAATATTTTGATAAAGACTCCCTATTATCTTACGGTTTTGATACTGCTGATAGAACATAATTTGGTTTCTGATCTCATGGTCTTAGTTTCTCAGAATGGCCAAAACGTGTCAAACGAAACTTTGATAGTGGCGTCGGTGGCCTA